GAGGGTGGAGGGAGGTCGGGGAGTGTGGGCACTGGGATGGGGTGGCCCAGATAGCGGAGGTGACAGATGATAAGGCATCCTGAGTGAAGGTGTGCCAGTGATGTTCAGGGCGTGGTGCTGGGAGTGACAGATGGAGACAGAGGTGAGTGACAGTCCAATTACGGGATGACAGGGACAAGCGACAGATAGCGCCTGATGGAGCGGATTCATTCCCCCAGATACATCTATGGTCCCAGCACCACACCATCCTGAGGCGTGAAACTCCAGCTAGCGGGATACCAGCCAGTGATGTTGGGGCCAGGGACCGCCTGCCCTCTGCCTCCTGGACACTTCACACATTGGCTGTGTCGGCACATGGATGACTTGACTAAAGATCTAAGACGTGCTATCCGAGCTCCACCCCATGTGAATATACTACCGCTCATCAGAAGCCATACTGCGTACCTGGCGGATGCGTGAGGCGCCCAACACACACCGCCATCCCAGCTCCTCTGCAGTGACAGGCAACCACCAGATGTCCAACTCTTGACGGAGAATTCCCAGAAGCGAGAGAGTCTGCTCCCTTACAGGGCCCAAAACCTAGGCACCAGGACGATTTCCCCACCCTCGCGAGCGCGGGGGGCGTGCTCACTGGCGGTCGGGCCTCAGGCCGGCTGGCCCAGGAACCCGAGCCTCAGCCTCTGCTTCTCAGGGACGTCGATGTTGTTCTGCAAGGGCTGGGGGCTTCTCCTGTAACACGACTGCCCCGCCAACGCCACGTCAAGGACACATCGGACAGCAGGCATCCGGCTGGGCCCGATGGGCAGAGCAAGAGGCTCGGATCTGACCAGCCTCAGAACGGGCCAGGACTCGCGGGGTGGGTGTGTGGGGGTCGAACAGGAAGCAACTTTTTAAAAATCAATACCCAAACTTTTAGAATCTCTTAGGCCCAAGAAAGGCACGCCATCCAGCCCTGCCCAGAGAAAAAACACCTGAAACGCTCCCCTGCTCACCTCTTGTGCCACTCTGCCCTGTCACCCTCATCTGTGCCACTCTTGCGCTGCTGCACGCTGTTGCATCTGCCCTGCTCACCCTCTCTGTGCCACTCTGCCCCTGCTCACCCTCTCTGTGCCACTCTGCCCCTGCTCGCCCTCTCTGTGCCACTCTGCCCCCTGCTCGCCCTCTCTGTGCCACTCTGCCCCCTGCTCGCCCTCTCTGTGCCACTCTGCCCCTGCTCACCCTCTCTGTGCCACTTTGCCCCTGCTCGCCCTCTCTGTGCCACTTTGCCCCTGCTCGCCCTCTCTGTGCCACTCTGCCCCCTGCTTGCCCTCTCTGTGCCACTCTGCCCCCTGCTTGCCCTCTCTGTGCCACTCTGCCCCTGCTCTCCCTCTCTGTGCCACTCTGCCCCCTGCTCACCCTCTCTGTGCCACTCTGCCCCCTGCTCACCCTCTCTGTGCCACTCTGCCCCCGCTCACCCTCTCTGTGCCACTCTGCCCCCTGCTCACCCTCTCTGTGCCACTCTGCCCCCGCTCACCCTCTCTGTGCCACTCTGCCCCCTGCTCGCCCTCTCTGTGCCACTCTGCCTCCTCTGTTGGGTAGGGATGATACCACACTTCCCTTGGGGGTGGGACATCACATCCTCTGCATCCAATTAACAGAAGTGACTGTTAGGGTGACCCAAGGTCATCAGCTGGCAAACATGTTGGGAGACATATATGCCCGTTTTGCTTCAAGCATTGTGTGTTAGCCCTTTGGGTTTTTTAAATTAGAAATGAGAGAACTGCACCTTCAAAGTTTTAATCCTCACAGCCATCCTGAGGCTGTTCCCATGGACCCCACTTGATGGAGTGGAAAGCAGAGGTGAAGGGACCTGCCCAGAGAGGGACTTGCCTCCCCATTGGGGTCTGGCCTTGCCTGCCCCTTGTAAAGCCGAAGCACTCTGCTGCACTCTGAAGGGGTCCCTCCAAGAGGCAGTTCTCAGAGGAAGAGGTACAGGGAGCAGGGACTGGGCTCTGGCTGGGGTCCTGGCTGAGGTCCTGGCTGGGCTCAGGCTGGGCTGTGGCTGGGGTGCTGGCTGGGGTCCTGGCTGGGGTGCTGGCTGGGTTGTGGCTGGGGTGCTGGTTGGGGTCCTGGCTGGGCTCTGGCTGGGCTCTGGCCTGGTCTTGGCCCCAGATGTTGTCAGGGAGCTTTGGGGTTTGTCCATCTGTGGAAGGGAAGCAGGCCCTTTGGGCAGGCCGGAGGCCTGTGGTGGCGGTGATGATCAGGAGCAATGCCACGTCCTGGCAGTTGGGGAGAGGAGCTGGGGACGTGGCCGGGGCTGGCTCCGAGGTGCGAGGGGCTCTTCCGGTGCCTCTCGGAGCTGCAGTGGATTATCACACATTTGGCTGCCATTGCCAAGGGGAAGGCTAGGTTAATCTCAGCACCGCCCTAATTAAATAAAGGCAATTACAGCAGCCAGCAGATCCGCTCCTGTGAGCTGGAAGCTCTCACCCAAGCATCTTCTCATTTGGTTTCTAACTGCCCTGGCAAAGTGAGATGACCTTGGGTTGACTTTGCCTGCCCCCACCCTGCTCCCCCTCTGTAAAACGGGCCTGGGCCAGCTACCTCAAAATCAAGGAGCCATCTCTATCTTCCCTCCTGGCTCATTCCCAACTCTCACTCCGTCACCAAGTCCTACGGAAACCGCCTCCTAAAAACCTCTTGACTCCACCACCGCTGCCGTCAGCATGCTGGTCCCAGCGCCACCAACTCTCCTCTAGAATACCCCACCAGCCTCCTACCCAGCCTCCCAGCCAGCTTCCACCCCAGTGCCCCAATCACCTCCACACAGCACCTGGGAGACTCCATCACCCCGCTTCTCCACTTAAACCATGTGACTAGTTTCCAGTGACAATTAGAATAAAATCCAGACCCCTCACTTCAGCCCACCCGCCCTATCCCAGGCCACTGGGTCAGCCTAGCTCCTGCAACTGCCTCTCTCAAATGTGGCCTTGGTCTTTCCCACCTCTGGTGCCCTCCTCTGCCTAGACTCCTCCCTCCTCTCCCCTCCCTGCCTGGCTAACCCCACCCCTTCCCTCCTCTCCCCTCCTCACCAGGCTAACCTCTCCTCTTCCCCCCTCTCCCCTCCCAGCCTGGCTAACCCCAAGTTAGCCAGGTAGAGGGGACAAGGAGAGAGGGAGGGGTTAGCCAGGTGGAGGGGAAGAGGAGAAGAAGAGGAGGGTTTAGCCAGGTGGAGGAGGGGAGAGGAGAGAACGGAGGGGTTGCAGGGTGAGGATGGGGAGAGGAGGAAGGGTGGGGTTTAGCCAGGCTGGATGGGGAGAGGAGTGAAGGGGTTAGTCAAGCTGTGAGGGAGAAGGAGGGAAGAGGAAGGAGTTACCAGGTGGGAGGGGAGAGGAGGAGGGTGGGGTTACCAGCTGGGAGGAAGGAAGGGGGAGGGGTTACCAGGCCTGGGAGGGGAGGGGGGGAGGGGTTAGCCAGGCTGGGAGGGGGAGAAGAGGGAAGAAGAGAGTTAGCCAGGTGAGCGGGGAGAGAGGGAAGGTGTGGGGTTAGCCCAGCGCTGGAGGGGGAGAGGGGGGAAGGGGTTAGCCAACGGCTGGGAGGAGAGGAGGGAACGAGGAGAATTCAGCCAGGTGCGGAGCGGGGAGAGGACGAGAAGAGGAGGGTTGTACCAGGTGCGGACGGGGTAAGAACGGGAAGGGGTGGGGTTAGCAGGCTGGGAGGGGAGAGGAGGGAACGGGGTCTAGCCCAGGCTTGGGAGGGGAGAGGAGGGAAGAAGGAGAAGTTTAGCCAGGTGAGGAGGAGAGGAGAGAAAGGAGGGTTAGCCAGGTGAGAGGGAGGAGGAGGGAAGGGGTGGGTTCAGCCAGGCTGGGAAAGGGGAAGGGGAGGGGTTGCCAGGCTGGAGGGGAAGAGGGAAAGAGAGGAGTTACCAGGTGAGGAGGGAGAGGAGAGGAGGGTTGGGTTAGGCCAGGGCTGAGGGAGGGGAGTAGGAGGGAAGGGGTGGGGTTAGCCAGGCTGGGAGGGGAGAGGGGGGAAGAGGAGAGGTTAGCTCTGGTAGAGGGAGGAGAGCGGAACGGGAGGTGGTAGCCAGGCTGGGAGGGGAGAGGGGGAACGCCGGAGAGGTTAGCTGGTGGAGGAGGGGAGAGGAGGAAGGGT